CAATCAGTAACTTATAAACATAATTCATAGAAAATTTATTCTTTATGAGCATTTGATTCCAATGATGATGAATTGTGTTAACCAAATGTTTGTGATTCACAATTTTCTTCATGATCCAAGTCCAATTCTGCCCAGCTTCAGCATCCATAATATCACTACCTTTCAGATAAATCTTGTGAATCCACTTAACCCACAAGTTATCGTTTTTATTGCAGATGTTCTAGAGGCATTTTAGCAAAGTAACTTGGTTCCAAACTGTCAAATTTTTCAGCCCGGGGCCCCCTTGCTTGCTGGGACTGCATACTTTACTCCACGCCACAGGGCTCTTTCTACTTACATCAGCTTTACCTGTCCAAACAAATGTTCTACAAACTGCATCGATTCTTTTGGTCACAGCCTTATGAAGAGGGAAATTCAGGATCCAGAATTGAGTTACAGAGCAGATAATGTTGTTAACTAATTGAACTCTACTTGCATAGCTTAGAAGCTTGGTAGACCAATGGCAGATTCTACCTGTTATCTTATCAATCAGAGGGAGATAGTGCAGTAAACTGTGTTTCTTGCTGCTGAGAGGAACGCCTAAATATCGGACAGGGAAGTGCCCTTCATCAAAACCAGTAGAGACTTTGATATTGGTCCTAGTCTCCGTATCAACACACCCAAAGAAGACTTTGCATTTCCTAGGATTGAAGATGAGACCTATAGACTCATAAGTTCTTGAAAGTTGTCATCAAAATATCAACAGAAACCTGGTCTCCCCTATTGAAAAGGAGAATATCATCAGCAAAAGCGAGATTAGTCAGAGCAAGATTCTCACACTTTGCATAGTGATTGAAATTAGGATCTTTTTGCATCTTCACCAAGCATTTGTTGATATAGTCAATCATGATTACAAAGAGAAGAGGGGATATAGGATCACCCTGTCTTATCCCTCTCTTGGCATGCATGATATCAAAGAAGCTACCATTAATATTGAAAATGTAGGAGACAAAAGTTACCAGATTCATCACCCAACACACAAATCTGTTTGGAAAACCCATCTTCTTCATGATATTCTCCAAAGCCCCCCAGTGGACCATATCATAAGCTTTCTGTAGATCAATTTGGAACATACATCTTGGAGTTCCATTCTTCCTATCATAACCCTTAACAAGCTCATATGCTAAGTGAATATGATTATGAATATCTTGTCCAATAACGAAAGCAACTTGGTTCTTGTAAATGTTATCCGACATAATATTCCTCATTCTAGCTGTGAGCACCTTTGATATAATTTTGAGAAAAACAGTGCACCCAGAAATATGCCTAAAGTCTTTAATACTTTTAGCATTCTCACCTTTAGGAATAAGAGTGACCACTGTTCTGTTGAAACCTTTATGGATCAAACCAGTCCTGAAAAATTCATTAACAGCAGTAATGACATCCAACTTCATAATTTACCAGTAATTCTTAAAAATCTTTGCACTGAATCCATCTATACCATGGGATTTGTTGTCACCTATATCTTTAAGGGCTTCTTCAATCTCCTTATTAGACACCTTGCTCACAAGAAGATCCTTTTGCTCTACATGGATTTGGTTACCCTCCCTCATAGCCTCCACATCAATGTGCTTTGTTCTATTAACATTCTCTCCCAACAGGCCATGATAAAAGTCCATTATCTCTTTTTCAATGTTGTTGCGGTCTGCTATGACCTCCCCATCATCTTTTTACAGGAATTTAATACAGTTTCTGTTTTTCCTAGCTTTCAAATAAGCAAAGAAAATTTTATTATTTCCATCACCTTGTATGATCCAATCAAGCTTAACCCTCTGCATGATTCTATTCTCCTCATGATCATGTAAATTTATGACTTCTTCAGTGAGCATTTTAATATGCTCAATAGCACTACTATCCTGCCTATTATTCATAAGATCAGTTTGAGCTTTGTGAAGGTTCTCTCTAGTAGCAATTAGCCTCTACTTCAGATTTCCAGACTGCTTGCTGAAACTCTTGATAGCGGTCTTTAACCTATGAAGCTTGTACCAAAGAATTTGCATTGGACTACCTCTTGCAGGTTTATCCCAAGAATCATTTACCATCTCTTGAAATCCATTTAAATCCAGAAGATAATTATTGAATTTGAAGTGATTTCTCCTCTTTGTATCATCAGGGCCACTAATATGAAACATGGAATGATCAGAGACATTGGGAGACAGAATACTCAAGACTTGATTAGTATGTTGCAAAAATCAAGCAGCGTTGCAAATGGCTCTATCAATCCTAGAATAAATTGTACCTATAGCATGTTTGTTAGACCAAGTGAAGTGATCACCCACACTGTCCATCTCAAACAACTCAGTTTTCTTCACCATGTTGGTTAAATCTATGTATTCACTTTCACTAACCTGATTGCCTCCTATTCTATCCTGGACAGTGACAACATTATTGAAATCCCCTATAGCACACCAAGGTCCAGATTGAGTATCATGGATGCTATCAATTTGTTTCCACAAATTCCTCCTCATATCTAAATGGTTATGGTCATATATAGCAGTCAGTCAATAAAGGAACTCCCCTGCAACAATATATATTCCACAATGAACATGTTGACTTAAGTTGTTTATCATCTTCAAATCCACCTTAGTATCGTCCTAGAGAATCCAAATCCTTCCATTAGGATGAACATTGTAGTTATCCATATAGGCCTTTTCATGTTGAGTTTCTCTCCAACTTTGTTAGCTTTGCTTTCTTTTACTCTAGTTTCAATCAAAATGCTAATTGTAGACTTGAACTCTAAGAGACGGGAGCTAATCTCTTTCAATTAAAATGCTAATTAAATTTTGTAAATAGTAGTACATAGTTACTGTAAAAGGAAATATAATAAAGTCTTGTAAATTCACATAATGAAGTAATAATTGAGAATTTGAAGAGGAGAAGGGAGGAAAAAATAAACTTCATATTAAAATATATTAAAGTAAAATTTATATAGTTTAAGATTCAAGTTCAGTAGAAAAATTACAACAAAAAAAAAAGTGAGGAGAAAAAGAAACACTATATTTTAAATGGAGTTTAATAAAATAAAATATATATTAACAAAATATATAGATTGTGAACAAATTTAATAGATAAATTAGAAAAAATAAAAGAAAAATGTGATGATCAGGTATTTTCATTTCATATATGTGGGTCCTCCATTCCATTATAACATGATCACTTACCTCAAAAGTCAGTTTTAAGAACATAAATGAGAAAACATCTTTTACGGATATGACATGACAATATAAAAGACAAAGCTAGAGTCTCAAGTATTACAAGATAAATATTTTTTAAAGTTTTTGGATTATTTTAAATAATCTTAAACTTAGTACTTAGTAGTACTTAAATTTTAATTAATATGAAATTTAAAGATGATTTAAAGGCCAATAATCCAAAAGTAAAGTCTCAAGTACTGATAATTGATACTGCTCTAATATAAGCTACATTGTACTATCAACAAATTTACTTGAATTGGGAACTTCACTTTCTCAATAAAGTTATTTAGCTGTCAAATTTTGGAGTCTGTGGCTTTTTGTCTTTTTCTTCCAACAATCAATATTGGATACATTGGTGAAAATCACCTGCAGTAGATATCGGTTCTAAAACGAATTTGTATTAATATTTAGCAATGGCTTTAAGGCCATGAACCCTTGAGCAATGGCTTTAAGACCTTCAGGCTCATTATATATAACATACTTGAGCAATGGCTTTAAGACCTTCAGGCTCATTATATATAACATACTTGAGCAATGGCTTTAAGACCTTCAGGCTCATTATATACAACAACCTCCAATTCCTCTATTTTCATGTCAAATTCTTCAGTTCAGAACTAAAATTTTCTGAAGATTCTTTAAACTTGAATATTTCAGTACTTAAAGTTTGCACTTGAGATATTTGGCGGTCCCAATCGTCCCTTACTTGTTGTAGCTTGCTTTGCAGGGATGTAACTTCACTCTCATATTAACAGTCCATAACAACCAGCTTCTTGAACATGAAAAATTGAAGACCTTTTGTCCAGGCTTAAGACACAATTTTGGCCTTTTAAACAAAAGGATAAATATGAGATTTCCACATCATACAACTTTCTTATATGGTAGATGTAGGAACAATTTTGGCTCATGGTTCCATTCTCCTACGTTGCCATTGGGTTGGTTGGGTTTATGTGTTTTTCAATGTTATCATATTTTGAAACACTAAATCAATTAAATCGTCAATAGACCAATGGGTACTTTTGATATGTAACATCGAGGGCCTCTTCAATTGATTTCAATCTCCGTATTTTAAATATTTTTTTTATTATTTCATTGATCTGTCTCCAATTATGTAGCTTAGTGTCTAGTTCAATATTCTTATTTAATTTTTTTTAGAAAGTTTAACCAACTCAGTTGCAATAGTTTTCAGTTCTTTCATTGTAAGGAAAATTATATTTTAGAAACTATGCATTTGAAAAGAAGCTGAAAATTGTTGTCAAATACTACTTCAGTCCTCAGTCCTTAATTATAAGACCTTCTTGAATTTTTTTCTTATAATTTTTTATAAGACCTCTTCAACTTTTAAAGTATATTAACTATATTTTCCAAATATACCCCTATTATATTACATCATTTTCTACAATCTGTAATAAATACACTTATATAAATATTAGTTATTTCCCTCTTCTAAGAATACTTATAAAATTGTATAAATAATTAATAAATTTAATATTCTAATCAACTTTCGTAACAATGCAAGAAATTATTGCCAACAAAATTGTAGTACAAGATGCCCATCAAATAAATAGCAATATATATCATTTAAGTAGTATAAAAATTTTCATTCTGAGAATCAATATAAAAAATCACGTTACATATACAGATCCTAAAATGATGGACATCATTGTATAATAATACTCTGCACTAAAACAATAGTATAAGTTATTTTTCTGTACAACTCTTATGCAACTTACAAGACAAATTGCAACTAAAAACAATCTTAACTATACATTATACTTCCTGTAAAATATGCATTCCTTCCTTTTGAGACACTCTTGGAGCATATCTTATCACCTTAACACGACACGAAACCTCATCAGAACCAAACTCAATCACATCAGAAGGACGGACGCGTGCATGATAATTTGGAAGTAGCCTGGATCGTTTTCCTCCGGTGTTGAAAATATGGTGAGAATCAAATTAGATATACAATTTTCAAAACACGTAAACTTTCATTAAAAAATCATTAAAACTCTGAAAACTGTTTGACTTACTTAGTGATCCAAGTGTTATGTTGACTTTCTAAATCAGTCAAGATGAAGGTGTCGTCCTTGTAGTTTATTCGAGCATGCAATTCAGAAACCTTCAAAAGAAAAAAACCTCATTGCATGATCTTCGATACATATGTGTCGTGATTGTATCTAATTATGCTCATGACAAATTATCTTACCTTAGGTAAAGGTATTGTGATTAAGCTTCCTTTATAATCTTCTTGTTGCATGTTCCAGCAATTGCCGCAACTATCAGAAAATAAGTTGAAAGCGAAAGTTTAAGAATTGCTTGCACCCTAATAGTTTATAAAGATGTAAGAATCTTTCTTTTGTTTCCAACATTTTTTTCGTGGGTTAAATGCATTTTATCTCTGCAATAGTAGTGAGTTTTGATTTATTCCCATTTTAAAAAAAATATCTTTTAGCCCCCCTCAACAAAATAAGATTCCCTCAAATTTGACTTTGGGTCAAAATTCCAACAAAATTTGCATACGTAACGTTTGACGTGGTTTTTTTTTAATTTATTTTAAATTTCATGTGGAAATTTGATTATTATTATTTTTTAATTTGTTTTAAATTTATTTTTAAAAAATTTTAAAATTAAAAAAAAAAATTAGCTTTTATTTTCTCCCACTTGGATAAGTTTATTGTTTTGTTTTATTTATCCCATATTAATTTGATACATTAATTTTGTGTGATACTTAATTTTTTCGGTATGTACTTAATTTATCTTTTTTGGACGGTCGAGACTTTGCTGACAAATGTTGAATAGTTTGCTCCTTGATTCTGACAACATGAGGGTGACAAAGATCGAGTATTAAGAACATTTTATAAGTACTGATGGTTGGATAAAATACAACATGATCGAGTTGAATCATCGATAATACAATTTTAAACAAACGCTTGACATAATGAACACTAGAAAAAAACAACATTAAGGTCAATATAAAAACAATCTGGTAAAAATCATGAATTACTCTGTCAGCAAAAAAAAATTGTGATGCACACATTATATAATAAAATATTAAGATTAATTAAAATACACTGTCAATTTAAAACTATTTTATACTGTTATCCAATTAAAATTAATTATTTTGACATATAAAAAGAGAAAAATATGAAAGAAATAATTATTAAAAGAATTTAATTCTAATTGGGTGATAGTGTAAAATTAATTAGTCTCTAAAATATTTAGTCTAAGTTGTTATTATTTGGGAATTATTATTAGGTTATCATAGGTATTCTGAATTATTAGTTATTGGAGATAGATAAATATAGTAGTTTATATAAAGACCCAATTGCGTGTTTTACATAAGGCGCATTTAGTTTGGAATCTTGCTCTTGTAAGTGGAGTTGTGTATCCCTACTCCCTTTATATATTATTTGTTTTCAGAAGGAAAAAAACCTCAACAAAATATAATATATTTTAACTACTAATTTATTAGATTCGTATCTTCTACTCACGTGTATACTATATTTTCGATCGTGTATACTATTAGATCCGTATTTTCGACCGTCCAAAAAAATAAAATTAAGTATGTACCGGAAAAATTAAGTATCACACAAAATTAATGTATCAAATTAATATAGGATAAATAAAATAAAACAATAAGCTTGTCTAAGTGGGAGAAAATAAAAATTTAAAATTTTTTTTTAAAAAAAATTTAAAAATTTAAAATATAAAAAATAATCGAATTTCCATGTGGAATTTAAAAAACTAAAAAATAAATAAAAAAGACACATCAAGCGCCAGGTATGCAGATTCTGTTAGAATCTTGACCTAAGGTCAAATTTGAGGGAATCTTGCTTTGTTGATGGGCTAAAAGAAAAAGAAAAAAGTTTAAAGGGGGGGGGGGGGGGTAAATCAAAACTCGCTACTATTGCAGGAGGGTAAAATGTATTTAACCATTTTTTCTTCAATCCATAATACATTACAATGTTTTTACAATTGTAGCTAGTTGCAGATGAAGGTGTATCCGATTGTGCTGATTTGTCTCATCTCGACTCAAACATATAGGTTCTTAAAGGCTTGCTTAATTTCCAAATTGTTATAAATTCCATTTATAATTCAAACAAGAAGGAATACATTGTTGAAGTGTAATCCAAATTCAACAGAAATTTAGTTAGCATTTTGAAGCAACCAGTAAAAAATACAGAACCTCTACCGAACTTTATTTATTCTGAAAGAATGAGAAATATCAAGAAAACCCCAAAAGGAAGGATAAGATAGTCTTGGGACCAAGAGAGAGGGTACTGAAGTCGATTATGTGGGAAGAAGGTATTAGCACTCTTCATATTTTTTGTGCTCAACGGGATCCACTTTGATTGTTTTTTCTAAGGGTGTGTCTATCTAAAACTATATTTACTAAGGGAAATGCATGAATGAGCTAAAAGAAAAAAGGAAAAAGTTTTTATTATTGTGTTCGTGAGGGTATCGCAACCCTGTGCCTACGTATCCCCGGAAGGAATCAGAACACCATAGTTCTTCTAAAAAAATATTGGTTTGTTGGTGTTTTTTAGTGGAGGATGTTTACGTTTACATTCTAGCAATATCACGTACTGTATCGTGGTAGAACGAAAATAACAAGTCCTTTTGAAAAAGTTAAATAGAAAAAGCCAAGTGGCAAAAAGTTTTTTATTTGGTTTGTGTTTTGGTTAGGAGAAATGTTTGTGATTTGAGTTGCACTAAAGTCTGTGAATAGAAAAGAAGTGCAATGTAAGAATACACCATATCATGCTCTTCCATTGCTTAAGGCTCGATGACGTACAACTCGCATCTCAATTATTAAGTGTTTTTGGGTTTTTGATTAAGGAAAGAAATTTTAGTTTTAATAAGAAAGGATGTAATGCAAAAGGAAATATCTAAGGGAAGCTAAAACCCTAATATTATCATGCAATTAATGCACTTAAATTTGAGTTTTTGAAAGGGGAAAATCTAATCTAAAATGTTATCATGTATGGCTTCGATTCTAAAGTCTAATTCAACACAAAACAATCAAAAGGAAATCAATCGCTTAATGGAATCACTGAAGAGAACATGTTATCAAGATTTAACCAAGCAATCAAAACAAACAAAAGTAACAGAAATACAAAGCAAATATTTTTGTGTGATTTTCACTAGGTGAAGAAATGCAATTAAGCATAATAACAAAAATGATTAGCTAAACTAAAACAAATATTAGAGTAAATTCACAACGAGTCCTAAATTAATTCAAAAACTAAACTAATTAATAGAATTATCTAATTAACCAAAAGAAAAAACATGATTATTTAATTAAGTTTACTAACTGGTCTTACCGCTTGATCAAAACATGCAAGGTGGCCGGATGACGATCTTGTGTCGGGCTAGAAAGTCGAGGAGGAAAAAAGGGATGTTGTACCTGCAAGGCACTCTGATGATCGAGTAAGTGTGGGAGCAAAGAGATACAAGCAAAAGTATTAGGGTTTTAGTGGTGAATAGTGAATATTTAATATCTGGCGCTCACATATGTGAGGGTTTATATAATGCCCCTGGCGGGTGGCCATTGGTTCCTATTTTTGGGCCTAAATATACGGATCTGTGAAAATAGGTAACTGCCAAGACTTGGTCATATCGAGCACGTGTTCCCGTAACTAGCCGTTGGTTCCGAGGAGGAGGTAGGTTACGGGCAACGGTCTGGTCGGTTCCTGGTTGTCTGAGTGACTTAATATCGGGCAGACTGAGAGGTGCTCGTCGATCACCGTGGGTTGGTGCCGGTCCAGGAGGACAGATGATCGATGATGCCCGATGGGGGCGGGAAAGATTCGGGTCATGGTCGCATGGGTCGTGCTGAAAGGGGAGTCTAGACTAGGCCTACTCTGGCTGTTGGGCCAGTCCAGAATAGTGGCCCCCAAGTCGTTGCTTTCGAGCACAGGAGTTACGATTTTAACACCTGCTCGTGAAATAGGGTGCTTCTTACGGGGAGCATGAGCATCGCCCGTTTCTCCTTTCTCGCAGGGAGATGAGTAGTTGGTCGTTCTGAGCCTTGAACTTGAAGAGGTAGCGTGTTTCGGGTAGTGCGCTGACGAAGTGGCGCAATGATGGCCTAAGAGCTAGGGTGCAATGATGACGATCCTAGGGTTCCCTAGGCGTGTGTCTCCTATGCACGGATGGTCCTAGATATAAATACGAGAGGAGTAAGGAATTTTGTACTTTTCATTCTTCTCTCATACTGCTCGTTACTGCTCGCCTGTCGACTGTCGTTGTTCCTTGAGATTCACCGCTCGTTGTCACTTTCTTCAGCCTTATTTCTTCTTTAACTGGTAAGATTTCAGTTTTCTTGTTGTTATTAGACCTTTGTAGTTCAGATATTCGTGATTTTAGCCTTATAAATGCATGCGGTTAGGGTTAGGATCTTGTTGGTTAGGATGTTTTTAGATGAGTGTTGGTGGCGAACGGATGCCAGCTGTTTTATTGATTTTCTCCCCCCTCACCTTAGTGATGAGGGTCTTCAGCTTTTCCTGCCCCTTGGCTAGATTCAGGAACATTTGCTTTGAGCGTTTTGAGCTTGAAGTTCTTTCATAGTCTGTTCGAGAGCCATCGTTTACTGAAATAAACAGTAAGAAGATGTGAAAACCTGTCTGTGAGGAAAACCTGTTATGTATGACATGCATGATATATAAATGCAATGTTTTCAAGGACCTTATGAGATTTAAGTTTGTTAACCAAAAAGAAACATAAACAAGATTTTTATTAGTAAGTTCATGTGAATATAAAAGATTTCACATGAATAAATTAAAAACTCCTAAAGCTTTAAGTTTCTCATGGAAGTCTCCTCTTTGTGTTGACATATGTGTTAAGACTCTACTCCTCGTGAAGTTGCTTCGTCAGCTCCAACACTTTCTTATCACTTGCATAGAATTGAGTCTTAAAGGTGTCATGTTCTTCCTTGAGTTGAATCCAGTACTTCTGCAATTCTTCAAGGTCAGTAAGCACGTCTGGATGAAGGATGGTGTAAGAAACGTCTCCTTCGACAACAGGCTCCATGATTACTGGTAGGACAGCAGGATATGGAATTATAAGGTTTTGAGCACGAGCTCGTGCCCATTTGAGATAGGGCTCCAGAGGGATGAAGTTCTTATGCCCCAGAATCCGTCTATTAACCTTATTGACCATACCCCAAGTACGAATAAATCTTTGTCGGTAACCTTGAAGATCATTGTCATAGTCGAATACAACACCCCGGATAAGCGTATCATGAGGGTCGTCTTT